GTAGTGGTCAGAGTGTTTTGTCACAGCAATGGAGAAACAAACTAAGACAGCCGGGGATAGCTGGGTTATTTGTTTAGGACAAGGAAATGAGCTAAGGGTCGTTGACCAAGATGCTTTCCCACAGAGCAGGGAGCCTGCACTTTTATGACCAGGCCGCTTCCTCCTGCCAGCCTAACAGTGTTCTGCAGGACAGGGATTATCAGAGCCACTGTTTTCAGTGCCCCTCCCTTTAGCAGAGAATGCAGCCTGGACCTATAAGTTTTAGGCTCACCTCACCTTAGGGCCTGGCATCCTGGTTTCCTACAATAATATACTGAGAACAAACATTTCTTTGCAAGATGATACAGTAGATGATGTGAGAGAAGTGGATGAGTGTTCCCTTTCCCCACATCCTCTCCAACATTTGGTATTATTTGTTCTCTCTGACTGGGGTAAGATGAAATCTTAAAATGGTTTTAATTTGCATTTCCCATCTTTTAACCTCTTTTAAGATGTTTCATAGCCATCTTTACTACTTCTTTTGAGAACTCTCTGTTCAGCTCCTTAGCCCATCTTTTAATTGGGCGCTTCTTGTCTTGATTCTCTGTTTTCTGAGTTCGTTATGTATTCTGGATATTAAACCTCTGTTGGATGTGCTGCTGGTGAAGATTTTCTCCCATTCTGTGGGTTTTCTGTTCGCTTCCCTGGTTGCCTTCTTTGATGTACAGAATCTTTTTTAGTTTAATGAGGTCCTATTTATTAATTCTTGCCCTTGTTTTCTGAGCAATTGATGTCCGGTTTAGAAAATCCTTTCCTACACCTATATCTTGTAGGTTTTTCCCAATGTTTTCTTCTAACAGTTTCAGAGTTTCAGGCTTTACATTGAGGTCTTTGAGCCATTTGGAGTTGACTTTTGTGCACACTGAAAGAGAGGGATTTAGTTTCATTCTTCTACAAGTGGAGATCCAGTTTTGCCAGCACCATTTGCTGAACATGCAGTGAATGTTCTTGACCCCTTTGTCAAATATCAAGTGGCCAAAATTGTATGTACTCATATTTGGGCCTTCAATTTTG